CTTGTAGGATTGAGAAACGGAAGACGGGGGCGGGGCGGGGCGGGGGGAGAGGAGGGAGCGGGGACCCGGGGGAAACAAAATATTTTGTTAATTCCTCCTTCAAGTATGGACAAAACCTACGAAGGGCCTTGGGCAAGTACATGGGTGTTAACGCTGTTTCTTACTTACTTTTTTTTTTTTTTTTTTAAACATCCCTGGCTCCTGTTAGCGTAGCGCCAGACTCTGTAGTAAGCGCTTTATAAATATTAACTCATTTTACCTTCAACAAGCCTATAAGGTAAGTACTATTATTATCCTCCCTTTACAGATTGAAAAACTGAGATTGCTGAAAAACACAGTGTTTTTTTTGTTTTTTTTTTTTTTTTTTTTTTTTTAAGATTGTATTTATTTACGGGGCGCCTGGGTGGCTCAGTGGGTTAAAGCCTCTGCTTTCGGCTCAGGTCATGATCCCAGAGTCCTGGGATCGAGTCCCGCATCGGGCTCTCTGCTCAGCAGGAGGCCTGCTTCTCTTCCTCTCTCTCTCTCTGCCTACTTGTGATCTCTATCTGTCAAATAAATAAATAAAATCTTTAAAAAAAAAAAGATTGTATTTATTTACTTGACAGAGAGAGAGAGACCACAAGTAGTCAAAGAGGCAGGCAGAGAGAGAGGCCGAAGCCGACTCCCCACTGAGCAGAGAGCTCGGTGGTTAGGGGCTTGATCCCGTTCTGGGCTTGATCCCGTTCTGGGCTTGATCCCGTTCTGGGCTTGATCCCAGCACCCTGAGATCATGATCTGAGCCAAAGGCAGAGGCTTAACCCACTGAGCCACCCAGGTGCCCCTGGAAAGCACAGAGTTAGCAAGAGGTGTCCTGGTTCCACTACGCTATTCTGCCTTCTGCCTAACAAAAAAATGGGTGGAGGTATATAACCTGGCAGAGTAACTTCAACGATTTTGATTCCAACCCATAGCAGAAATATATTTTACACTGGTTCTCAGTACCTACACAAATGTACAAAACTGAAACACAACTTCAGGAAACAGTACTTGCCCTTAGGCCATAAAGTGCAATGATATGTTCTATTTCCTGCTTTGTTTTATTTTATTATTTTATTTTTTTTTAAAGATTTTATTTATTTGACAGAAAGAGAAAGATCACAAGTAGGCAGAGAGGCAGGCAGAGAGAGGGAGGGAAGCAGGCTCCCTGCCAAGCAGAGAGCCCGATGCGGGGCTCGACCCCAGGACCCTGAGATCATGACCTGAGCCAAAGGCAGAGGCTTAACCCACTGAGCCACCCAGGCGTCCCTCCTGCTTTATTTTAATAAATGTTGATCAAGGGGCGCCTGGGTGGCTCAGTGGGTTAAAGCCTCTGCCTTCGGCTCAGGTCATGGTCCCAGGGTCCAGGGATCGAGCTCCGTGTCGGGCTCTCTGCTCCGCAAGGAGCCTGCTTCCTCCCCTCTCTCTGCCTGCCTCTATGCCTACTTGTGATCTCTCTCTCTGTCAAATAAATAAATAAAATCTTTAAAAAAAAAATGTTGATCAAGCCCCACTGAAGTGATTTCACCACTCAGTTGAGTCTGGTCTGTGACTGATATATACTTTCCTACATATAAGCTCCATTTACCTTGAAAACCCTTCAGAAAGTCTTTAGCTTTGAGCGGGAGTGCTATCCATGGGCAGTCAACCACCCAGTTGTCTCCAAAATTGAAAAAACTAGAGTATCAAGGGGACCTCCCAAAATTCAAACCCAAGATGGTCTGGTTGATGAGTCTCAGATAAGTTGTTTATTCTCTCTTGGCCTTTTATATCTTCACTAGTAATAGTGGATCATTCACTTTTAGGTGGTTTCTACAATTACATGAATACTTGGCACAGTGCTTGGCACTTATGCTCAAGAAGAGGTAGAACCTATTATTATCATCATTCATGTTATTGTAACCTGCATTTCCTTGGCCGTATAATATGTTTTGCATATAGTAGGTACTCAAAAAATGTTTGATGAACCTCTGCTTTGGATGGATAGTCAAGTTGGGCTTTCTCTATCCTGAAGGGACTCCTGGTAGGAAAATCTCGACTTGCCACTGTAGGTCGAAAATTCTGTTCCGTAGCAACAACGTGAGCATTCTTGTTTGGCTTTGTCTTAGTCTTAGACTTGTTCACCTTCAGAACATTCAGTAGTTGGTACAATGTGCAGCAAGGAGATCCCCCTCCCTCCCAGCAGAAAATTACAGTAAAGTCTGCAAAAAACAACGAGGGGTTGTTAAATTACTCATGTTTATTTATAACAGACCTTCAGCCAGTACAGTACAAAACTTACAGTAGTATATCTCCGTTACACAAATATTTACTTACAATATATTACATATACAAAATGCTTTGCAATAAGTCTCAAAAGCTAGTTTAACTCCCTTTGAGAAAGGAGAAAAACTCTTTAAAAAAAGGGGGAGGGAGAACCAAAGGAAGAGGAGGGGAAGGTGAAAGGGTAAGGTCCAAGGGAGACACCAAGCATAGGCTACAAATGAAACCCTGGGAGAGAGAGAGGAGAGGTGGTATTGCACTTGCTTCTGTGTTTTATTTTTTTTTTCTTTTTGTTCTTCATAACTTCTGATTAAAAATATATATAATATATATATATTATGTACACAGGAAAGAAGCTGCTGAAAGTATTACAAAATCCCATCCGCAGCTTGGACACAGACACAAAAAAACAAAGGTCTGGAAAAGTGTCTATTTAGAAATTTTCTTGTGTGGTGTTGGTCTTGAATATCAATATAAAAGGAAAACACCTCTTTTCTCCATGTGGGTTTCAATTTTTTTTTCTTTTTCTTTACTTTTTTTTATGCAAAAGGAGCTGGGAGAGAGCATGAGGATGTTTGAGGTTCCAGAGCTGGAAGGCTCTGGAAAGTAGGATTTTGTACCTAAGACCCTGGTTAAAGTGCAGTGATGGTCTGGAGAGAGACAGAGTGCCCTTCTCTCCCCTCCTTAGCACCTGGTCTTGCCCTTCCAGTCTCTGCTCTCATGGGCTCAGAGTATAGCCTCAGAGCATAGTCCTTCATGTTCCAGGAGGTTACAGGTGCCAGAGCTGACTGGGAGAGGGAATGGGGCACCCTAAGGCTCTGGTACCCCAGAAGGGACTAGTCCTTATGAGGTGTCACCAGATACACAGCAGACGCAGAAGAGGTGGTAAGGGGTAGGTCTAACAGGAAGGGGCTCAATAACCAGAACAGTTGAGGAGAACCCTAGATATTAATCTCAGCTCTGCTGCCATCCTGAAAGAAGGAGCCAGTTCCCTGGGGTACTGTTGAGAAGCCTCTCCCCTTCTCTAGAGACTACGCTCCTTCCAGGTAGCCCCCACCCCCATCCTCTGCCCTTGGCAGCGTCTGTTTATTGCTACATTGTCAGGAAGGAACCAACCCACAATGCCCCTCCTTGACAATCTGGTTCTCTTAGGGAGACTACATAATGGGGGAGAAAAGGAAGGGAGAAAAGGTTTTCTAGGGTCTCCCTTCCCATAGAGGGTAAGGTAGACTCTTCTTAGAGCCCTTAGGAGCCCCCATCCCAGGGTCTTTTCCTTAGCCAACCCTTCACCATCCCCCTAAATTATCCCTGATAGGGAGTGAGAAAAGTAGGAGGCAAAAGAGCCAATAAGGAAAGGACATATGGAAAGAAAGATGGAAGGGAAGAGAAAAGGAGAGAGAGAGAAGGACCAAGTGTTACAACTTGTGAGGTGCTGTGTTTGGTTTTTACTTTCTTTTTTTTTTTTCTTTAAATATAGAAAAACAGCCTTTGGTTTGAATCTCAAGGAAGCAGAGAATGGGATAGCTGTGGCCTTGGGCAGAAAACGCTTGTAGAGAACTCCACTCACAGTGGAGCCGTATCTCCTCCTGCCCCCTTCTCACTAACTGGGTTACCCAAAAAGCCAGGGGTCTCTGCTGTAGCCAGGAGGAGCAAGGCCCCTCCTGCCCTACATCTGGGAACTGAGTGTAGAAGGGGGCAGTAGAGGATGACCCCCGGTTCAGTTGCGCCCATCCCATTCTTGCCAGGACAAGAATGGAATGAGGTGAGGGGCAAATGCCCTTCCTCGTCCTGGGATAATTTTTGGTTATATACTGACAATTAGGAGAGAGAAAAGAGACACCCTTTTCTCCCTGCCACTGATCCTAAGAACAGGGCCAAGAAGCCTGGGAATGAGGGTGAATCCTAGAGCGGGGAGAAGAAGAAGGCAGCATGACTGAGGGGTTGAGATACCCCCTTGTCATCAGGCAGCAACCCACTAGTTTCTCATAGGAGAGGGACGGCAGGAGCCCCTGAGAGCCTAGGAAGGTCACTAGAGTGAAGAAGATCAGAGGTGGAAGAGAAAGAGAAGAATTTTAACCCACCCCCTTCCCATGCCCTGGTTCCCAGTTAGGCACCTGTGGCTCCCAACATGTCAGAGATAGGATTGCAGACCTAGCCTTGGCCCCTGAGAATATAAAATTGGGGCACTCCAAGAAGAGAAAACCACCACTGAGTAGACTGGCAGGTTGAAGAGAGTAGCAGTGTTGGGGGTTGTTTGAGGAGAGAAGAGACAGATCACATCCCAGAGGGAGATTCCCAAATGTGGGCTTTGAGGAACTCATATTACTAGGGGAACGTCAAGAGGACCCTCAGCCCACAGTGCCTGGGGAGAATTTCTTCAGCCCCTCCCACTTCCCAATGAGGAAATTCTTCATTTGTTGAAGCATAGTGCAAGCTGCCTAACATGAGAGGGCACAAGAGGTATGGAGTACCAGGTGGGAGGGTCCCAGAGAGGAGATATAATGCCACAGAGCTCAGGTAGGGCCAGAGGGAGCTATCAGCATCAAAAGGAAAGAATCAGATAATGCAAAAAGTGAGGACTTAACATGAGAAGCTCAGAACTCTTAGGACTAAGAGGAGCTTCCTACCCCGAGGGCTGTTAGAGAAAGCTGCATCAAAGAAAGAAAAATTAGGCCTAAAGTGGGAGCGGTCTGTGGGCTGTGGCAGGTGACTGATCAAAGAGAAAAAGCCAAAAGAAAAATCCACAAATTATATCAATAAATAACTCTGACTATGCTGGGATGAGAGAAGAGGAAGAGGAGAAACATAAGCAAAAAGGCCTGTTTCATCACAATGCTTAAGTCAGTCAGGGTAGAGGAGAATAGGTGAGGAGGGGTCAGGGTCAAGTGTGAAGTCTGGTAGCCAGTGGAGGAGGCTACGGAGCCAAGCTCCTTGGGATGAAGTGGGGAAAGAGCTAGACTCCTGTAGGGAGGCAGTGGAGTGGCGGACTGAAGGGAGGGTGGTAGGTAGGTGGCTAGCCGACCTTGTGCTCCCCCCGGACAATGTGGGAAGAGAATTCGTACCGGTCCTGGCTGTGGTAGCCGCAGATGTTACACTCGAAAGGGTCTCTGAAGCCATGGCAGCCCATGTGGATAGTGAACATGACATGGTCCAGAAAGAGGATTCGGCAGTGCTCGCACTTGAAGGCCTTCACGGGCTCACCGCTCTCGCCCACCACCCGGAGCACTTCCTTGGAGGGGCCCGGGGTGCCCCGCAGTAACCCTTCCTGCGGCTTGGGGTCCTCTTTGGCGTAGGCAGGACTGGGCCGGCCCACCACAATGGTGGGAGGTGGCTGGGGTGGGGGACCCTGAGGGAGGGATACCACCCCCCCAACACGATCTTCGTGGTTGCTCTCTGTATCTGTGGAGTCCTGGCAGCCATTGCTGGGGGATGCCCCAGGGTCGGTCAGGGGGCCTCGGGCCCGGTAGAGGAGGGGGCCTCCATCAGCCAGGTCCTCGGGTCCCTCACCTGCTTCTCGGGACCCTGGAAGCTCCAGCCGACCAGGGAGGGGCTGCATCTGGGTGTAGACAGAGCTGATGACGGGTGTGAGTTCCGAGATGCAGTTGGTAGGTGGAAGGCGGAGGGGACGCAGATGCTCTGCCCCCACAAAGGCCAGGGAACCTCCAAAGCCGGGCTCTAGGCCGTGATGTGCCACCAACTCCACATCCTTCTCGTAGCCACCCGAGTTCACATCGTAGGGGATGTCTGAGAGGCTGAAGCGCATCTGCTTTTCACCTGTGGAGGAGAGGATCTCAGCAGAGCTGGGTTTGGAGAATTCCTGAGTTTTCCCAGGATGACTTCTTTGTTTGCTTACCCTGGGGATGGCTGTAACATTATTTACCAGCCCTCATTCACTTCCCTCAAGGTCAGGACCTCTGTGGGGCGACTCCCCAACTCCAGCTATAATTGTAGGGAAGGACTGAGTTCCCAGCCCCTGCTGATCTTTAACACTTCCTTCATTGCCCTTTATAAAGCTATAGATCGAACCTCAAGGCCAAGTGGGTGGACCCCATACTCATACCTCCTCCCTCTGACTGTCAGGGCCATTGTCTCAGATCCCACAGGCGGAAGTCCTCGCTGTTCTCAAAACCTGGGAGAACCTGAGCTCCCTGACCTCCCTCCTCTTACAACCACCACAAGAGCCCTCAACACCCTCTCGAGGTACCTTCTTCCTTTTCATGCCCCTTCTGTTCTGGGGATGGATTCTGAGCACCAGAGCCTACCAGACCACTTTTTCCCTTCCATCAAATCTCCAGGCCCAGCTGGTTTGATGGCTACCAGAGCTCAGGTTTAGAGGAGCTGTGGCTTAAAGCTGATGTCTTCTCTCCAGCTGGACTCTTACCTACAAACTTCTGGGGGGTGGAGCGCTTGCGTTTGGTGAGGCTATTGGCCAGCCGATCAATGAAAGTTGGCCGCTCCGAGGATGAGTGCAGCATGGAGTCTGGCACCATCTCCAGGTCACGAATCTCGTCACCTAGAGGGAAGGAAGTGGGGACAATAGTAGCAGCTGAAGCGGAGCAGCACTGGCTCAGCAGCCTTTGCCTGGAGAGAATCAGCCAGTCGGTAGCCAAGGAAGGGCATCCCCGATACCTAGAAAACTGGGTTCCGCTCACTTCCCCTTATCTAGAGCTCATCCTAGCAACATTTCAGGTAATCGGGAGGACAATTACAGATGCATCTGACCCTCGGTTTTATACTCCCTTGTGTTCTCTCTCTCCCCTTAGACTGAGGACATAGATCAGAACGTCCCTGACCCCTGGACCTTCCTGCAGCACCTACCACAGGGCTCTGCACCAACTGGAGAGTTCCGGGACCAAGGAGGGAACCGTCCTTTCTCCAAAGACCTCATCCCTTTGTCAGGGGTGGGCAGGTGGGGGGGGGCTGGAATCATCCTTGCCCTGCAGGCCCTCTGGCTCTGCCCTCCACTCACCCCTCCCCTCCCCCCAGGCCTGCTGACAGCCCCACCTGGTTGGCCCACCAGAGCTTGGGCTTCAGTGCTGAGACTCTGTAGGTAGTTGTGGCACCGCTCTTTGTGCTCCTCCAGGGTACTCTGCTGTTTGTAGCTCCGGCCACAGTAGTTACACTTGTAGGGCTTGCCCACTGTGGGAGAGGAGACTGTGGAGGAGATGGGAGAGACGCCACATTGGTCACGCCTCCCGGTGCCCCGGGCTCTACAAGGCCCTCTGGGAGTGAATGGACCCCAGCATGAGGAGGAAGGGGTGTGGCTCGAGGGAATTCTGCTAGTCTTTCCTCCCCTACCTTCAGCGGCAAACATGGAAAGGGGCCAGTCAGTGTACAGCCCTGGGAAGAGAGAGGGGACCCGGGGCCTAAAGCTTGGGACTGCGGGGGCGTGGTGGGGGAGTAGGGCTCATGGCGGCCAAACTGCTGCTCACAGGAAGGAGGAGTCAGGGACTTGGTAGAGGATCATCCCTGGCAGACATGCTGGCCCCACCCTAGGGTCTCAGATTCTGGGGCCCAGACTGCGGTTTAACCTTTCCATGTGGCAGGCGGGTGCAAGTGCTGTTTATCAGACAAGGGGATTTTTTGCTTACGACCTATCTGCTTTGGTTTGGGGGAAATTGGTAGGCTGGGGTGACAGAAATGAGAGCCCTTAGATCTGGCAATGTGGGGAGGGGCAGTTTTCACTGACCTTTACTCCACCCCTAGCCTCGTTCTACTGCTTCTTTTTCTTTCTGTGTCTCTACACTGAGCTACCAAGAGAGCCCCAGAAAAACCATCACTGACAGAGAAATTCTGAGAAGAGAAGAAGAATAAGAGAGAGGGAAATAAAGGAGATGAGTAAAAGGAAGAGAATATCAACTTTGAGGGTCTTATAAATTTTTTAAAAATAAAGAACAAGTTAGAAGCGCCTGGGTGGCTTAGTCGGTTAAGTGCTGCCTTCAGCTTGGGTCATGATCCAGAGGTCCTGGGATCCAGACCCCTGGCAGGCTCCCTGCTTGGCAGGGGGTCTGCTTCTCCCTCTCCTTCTGCCTGCCGCTCCGCCTGCTTATGCTCATGCTCTTTCTCTCTCTCAATCTCTGTCAAATAAATAAAACCTTTAGAAAAAAAAGAAAGAACAAATTATAAAGATTTAGTTTCTGGGGTGCCTGGGTGGCTGAGTCAGAAGAGCAAGAGACTTTTTCTTTTTTTAAGATTTTATTTATTTAGGGGCGCCTGGGTGGCACAGTTGGTTAAGCATCTGCCTTCGGCTCTGGTCATGCATGATCTCAGGGTCCTGGGATGAGCCCCACGGCTGGCTCCTTGCTCAGTGTGGAGTCTGGTTCTCCCTCTCCCTCTGCTCCTCCCACAGAGCAGGGAGCCCTACAGGAGGCTGGATCCCAGGAACCCCGGATCATGACCTGAGCCGAAGGCAGATGCTTAACCGACTGAGCCACCGAGGCATCCTGAGTATGAGACTCTTGATCTCTCTCGATCTCAGGGTCTCAGAGCTACACGCTGGGTGTAGGGATTACTTAAAAAAGAAAAAATAGGGACGCCTGGATGGCTCAGTTGGTTAAGCAGCTGCCTTCGGTTCAGGTCATGATCCCAGCGTCCTGGGATCGAGTCCCACATCGGGCCCCTTGCTCGGCAGGGAGCCTGCTTCTCCCTCTGACTCTGCCTGCCTCTCTGTCTGCCTGTGCTCGCTCTCTCTCTCTCTCTCTCTCTCTCTGACAAATTAAAAAAAAAAAATATATATATATATATATTTTTTTTGTTTCTCCCAAAGAAAAGAAGTTGGGAAAACTGAGATGGATATTTCCTTTAAAAAACACTTTTTTTTTTTTTTTTTAAGATTTATTTATTTGAGAGAGAGTGAGTGGGGGAGAGGAAGAGGGGAAGCAGACTCCTCACTGAACATGAAGCCCAATGTGGGGCTCAATCTCACCCCCCTGAGATCATGACTTGAGCCAAAATCAAGAGTCAGATGCTCAACCAACTGAGACATGCAGGTGCCCCTAAAGACAACTTTTGAGAGTTAATATTTGTGAGAGGAGAGAGAAAAGTGAGAGAACAAGGTATTGTGTATCTTGTTTTACTATCTTGGAGCATCTGGGTGGCTCAGTTGGTTAGGCATCTACCTTTGGCTCGGGTCATGATCCCAGGGTCCTGGGATTAAGCCCCACATCATGCTCCTTGCTCAGCAGGGAGCATGCTTTTCCCTCCACCTGCTTCTCCCCCTGCTTATGTTCTCTCTCTCTGACAAATAAATAAAAAAATCTTATTTTATGTATATAGCTACTATTGAGCAGGGAGGCAGGAGGTGTCTCCAGGAGGCTGGTAATTACCTCCACCCTATATGTACACACCTAAACCAGGCCTTGATTCAATCTATCCATGCCATTTTGACCTTACTCTGTAAAACCTAGTCTTTGGGGGATGAGGTAAATGCCATGGTCCCTGTCCACCTAAGACTTTTGGGGAAACGGTTTAACATCTGGGAGAGGGACCCTTTTTTTTCTTATAGTGTGGGTTACATAGAAAGCATCTCATAGAGATGGAACCTAGTGGGATACCTGTATCTAATTCTATTCCTAATAATATCCTACAGAACAACATCCAAAATCTACCCTGGGGGCCTTGTTTTTGTTTCAGCAATTCTTGGGATCAAGCCATCCTTGTTCCAAACCGGTAGGGGAGGCCACCCCTTTTCTAAGGAAAAGGAGTATGATTCTGTGGCACAGAACCTTAACGAGGTCCAGGAAGGCTGCAGAATAGCTCTGTGACTAGCAATTTTTTTTTCTTTCTCCCCCAGACCTTTAGTTTTCTTGTCAGCAAAGTGAGGATAATACCATGTACCTTGGAATTGTTATGAGGATCACACAAGGAGACAAGCGAAAAGCTTTATAGATCAAAAAGCCTGCTCCAAGGTGAGAGAACCTAGAACAAGGTAGGTGGCTGGGGAAAGCCTGCTGAGGTGATTACTCTGTCCCTTGAAATCCTGGCCCAAGAGAGTTTAGGAAAAGAGAAAAGTAGCAAGGAAAGTTGCCAAGGACAGATCCTACTAATTTTTTCCCCTCTGCCCTTCCTCCTGTCTTTTCCCAGTCTTGAGCTCTTCCTTCCCACCAGCTTGACTCCTGGTCTCTTCGCAAGGCCAAGCTTAAAACTTAGTAAGATACTTCAAAAATACTGTCTGCGCAGCGATTCAGATAGATGTCGACTCCAAGAGTCTTGGCTGGGGCTATGAAAACTGGATAGTCCAGTCCCCTGGCACGGATCCAAACACTAACCTCTAGACACTCTGGCAACTTGCTCTTGCCTCTGGGAAGGGGACAACCTCTTGGGATGGGGAACAGAGGCTTTTCCTAGGCCTCCTTTCTTTCTCTGGAGTTTGGAGGCCCATGGATATTTTTAGGAACCAGTAAGAAGTAAAGGAGAAGACAAGACAGTGGTGATCCAAGACCTCTGGTATCATGGAGGAAGGTGATGATGGGTGATGGGCGTGGGACCTCGAGCACATGGAAATGTGAGGAAGGGTTTTTCTGGTGCTCAGAAGTATGGGGGGGGTGGGGTACAGATGGTTCTGGCAGTAGCATGAACTTTAAAGAACAAAGGGTGGGTGACTGTTAAGAGCCTAGAACATCACCCATGCTCCTTTTGCTCCACGTCACAGAGTGTAGCAGATGTAAAATACCTCATCAAAGAGTCCCCCAAATTTCCCATGGGGCCCAGACGAGGGGTTAGAGAGGCAGGGCCCTATCTGCTCTGTGGGTGCTCTGGCCTCCTCAGTGACAGACACCGTAACTCCCTGAACACAAGAGAAGTCACTGAGCTCTATTTCCCTGGGGTACTGAGGTCCCACTCCTCCTTTCCGACCGAACAGATCACTGACCCGAGTGTGTACGGAGGTGGCCGGTGAGCGCGTCACGCCGGCGGCAAGCATAGTTACAGAAGGGACATTTGAAAGGCTTCTCCCCGGAGTGCAGCTTGATGTGGCGCAGGAGGTTCCCCTTCTGGGTGAAGGAGGCACCACACTGGTTGCAGTGGAATGGCCTTTCACCTGCAAGAGAAGCAACAGATCACTGAGGACTGGGGGAGAGGAGTTTTGAAGGTTCAACCTCTTCTTGCACCCTCTGCCCCACCCTGCCTGAGGGCAGGTGCTCAGGAGGATTTCTGAGGGGCAGAGCTGAGGCACGCACACAAGATTCCTGTGTTCTAAAGCTCCCTCAGGAACAGTCTTACCCTGGGAAGGTGTGGAGAAGAGACTAATGGTAGGGCAAAGGGCACCAGGCCTGCAACTCTGGGCCAAAAGCCCGTGAACCCAAAACTGAGTCCTACAAGACCCACTGTGCTCCAGGAGCCTTCAAAGCCTCAGAAAGCTGAGACGAGGCTTTTGTTTTCCTTTTTTTGTTTTTGTTTATTTGTTTGTGTGTTTAAATCTCCACACCGGAGGGCCCAGATAATACCCTGGAGTCCTGTCCCTGTTGGACTCTAGGACCCTTCTGGAGGCTATGCCATTATCTCCCTCACCTCCTGAGAGAAATATCAGCTTTTCTTTATAACGAACGACAGCTGATGAAAGCGCCAGAGAAGTATGAGTGTTGAGGGAATCCAAATGGCATCGCTTCTTTTTTCCATCAGCTGGAAGGTGTGCTGGGAGAGACCCTTCCCTTTCTGAGGCTGCCCCACTGCAGACACGGTGTCCTATGCCTCTGTCTGTCCAGCCCGCATGGGAGCTCCTCTGGAGCCCCTGGCTTACTCACCCGTGTGGCTGCGCTTATGCACCATGAGCACATTGGGTCCAATACAGACCATGCCGCAGACGTCGCATTTGAGCTTGCCGTTGGGCAGCCGGATGCCCCCGGGAGAGTGAGGCTCTGGCCCACTTCCATCACAGTAGCCCAGGGGCTCTGACAACGAGTCTTCCACGATCACACTGTCATCCTTTTCTAGGAGCCGCTCATCTGGCCCCAGCAGTCTGCTTGACTCCTCATCGCTGTACATCTCCACCTTGATGGAGTTGGCTGGAGGGTGGGATGGTGTTTAGGACAGAAACAGGCAAAGGGGGGAACCTGCCCGCAAACCAGAATGGTCCTCCTGATGTCCAGCAGGCCCTCTCCCAGCCCTGAGACACACAGGCTTTAAAAGAGGCCAACACCTGAAGTCTCCCGGGTGGTGATATGGTGGTCCTGCTGGGACCTGCAATAACCTTTTCCTCCCGTCCCACTGCCAAGGCAAATAGGCTCCAAGAGAAAAAAGTTGGGGTACATGGGAGGTCTTCTGTTCCACTGGGGAGAGGAGGAGGCTAAGGGGAGTCTTCTTCTCCATTCTCTTATCGTTAAGAAAGATGTCGGGCTTGGCCCTGGGCAGGAAGCCAGCAAGTAACAGTGGCAGGAAAATGGTCTTAGGAAGACCAAAGAGATGGCAGGCTAAAGAGAGAGCAAAAATGGAGGACAGAGATGGCTCACATCATCTTCCCTCCCCATAAGATAGAACCCCTCCATTAAAATCTGGAGAGGGGGATGAAGGAGGGAGGAGCCACTGAAGAGAAAGCCTTGGCTCTAGCTCTGACCTATATTCCTGGCTATTCCAACCATTCAGAGAATGTCACAGATCTAGGGCCAGCAAGAAGAGGCAGTCATGGGGACCTATCCGGGCAGGAGAATGAGGCCCAGGAGCAGGAGGGAGTGGGTGATAAGGAGATCCCTCTCATCTCTGTTTCCTATCTAGCTCTACTTGTGACCATTCCTTGCTTCTCCAACTCCAGGATTTCTCTTTGGAGCCTTTGCCTTCATCCCAGCCAGGCCTCTTTTAATTCTACCCTAGTGTGGCAGCCACCGTTCACTCTCCTTTCAGAAGTCAGGAAGACCCTAGATGCTGAGGTCCGTACTTCTTGTAGATGTGTAGAGGCTTGAAGCAGAAAACCAGAGGGAGGCAGCAAAGGGGCAATGGCTGCCCATGGAGGGTGAGCTGAGGGCCAAACACAGACGGGCGGGGTGGGGGGCACCTAGTGCCAGGGCAGGGGCAGGGCAGTCGCACTTACCACTGAGTGAGCGGCTGGGAGAAGAGTGCTGGCTGTTGGGGGTGCTCACCGAGGGCCCCACTGGGGCCCCGAGGAACTCCTTCTCCAGAGATGAGTCCCCGCTACCTTGGAGGAGAGAACAAGAGGACAGGTGAAGCTGCGGCTGGAGCCTTTGACCATCTGTTGCCTCACCTCTTCAAAATTGTACGATGTTTCACAAACATTGATCTTGTAGCCACGTACAAGGCAGCGTTGTAAGCTCGGCACCATACCTTGTGCCCTCGTCAGCCCCGGTGCCCGGTGCAGACTTCTGCGAGCTCAATGGCTGCGTCTTGCCCACCCTACCTTTATCTAGGCCTGAGGGGAAGAACATCACTGCCTGACGTCCACAGGAAGCAGGGCTGGGGCTGGGCGGGCCAGGGTGGAGAGGAAAATGGGGGCCTCAGGAGAGAGGCAGTTCAGGACAGACGTTCTTCCCTACTGTTCCTTTCCGGAGCCCCCAACACCAGGTTCGGGATCTGCAGGAAGGGCAGCTGGAATGGTCCCTGAATCTAATGATAATAATAGTAATTATAATGACAGCCGCTAACATTTATTGAGTGCCTACTCTGTGCCAGGCATGGTTCCATTCACTTTATACGAATTCTCTCATTTCACCTTCACAACGACCCTATGAAGCAGGTGCCAATACGAACTTAATGTTGCAGATGAGAAAACTGAGGCACCAAGGAGGCTGTGCTACTTGTCTAAGGTCACAGAGCTGGTAGAGGCAGAACCTGGACAGATCAGAAACTGTAAGCACCCATGTCCTGAGCCCATCTCCACAGCCAGTGGGGAGTCACTTGTCTTTTAGCAGAGGAGCGTTGGGCCTGTTCGGCCTTCTGAAATCAGCATGAATTTGACTACTCTAGAACGCCTCCTATCTGATATGATTCCAGTCACATATTTACGGCTTGCTGTTTCCTTGACAGTAAAACAATGAGTTTATTCTCACTATGTTCATTGTTAACGTGTTGACAAACCGCTTTATAAAAATGAGTTTTAAGAGTTTCGTCTGTATCTTTAAAAAAATTAGTTAACATACGTGGAGATATGAATCAAGTCTTTTAAAAAAAAAATCCCTCCTCCCCACAATCTTCTGCACAAATTTATAGGTGAAATAAAACACATATAGGTAAACACACACATAGACACAGACACATATCACAGATGTAGATACATATAAAGAGAACATACCTACAGGGGAAAACACACCCATAGCCTTCTACATTATCTGCTAACGTGAACATGCATGGATGTGTACACACAGCCTAAATATGGAAGAGAGAAAGAGAGAGAGACACGAGCCCTAAAAGTCATCCCTAAAGTCCACCTATTAGTACTTTTCCCAATTTCCCAGCTACGCACATACTTACTTTCACAAAATAAAGATTCCATTATAAAATGGTTGGAGTCTTGGGCCTGAGGCAAGAAATCCGGAACACACCCTCCTGAGGGATCCCTCTCCAGCTTTGGTCAGTGGGAAGAAAACAACCACTCAGGACTTTGGGACCATTTCCCATTCATATCCTCTTCTAAAAGTCCCACTTCCCCCATTCTTTCCCATCAGAGCCTGAGGAAATTTGTTCACTTGCTATAGAAAATGTCTTATAGCTTGAAACTGAGTTGTCCCAGCTGGGGCCCTATAGATGAGCCATGGTTATCTAGAAAAGTTGCCCCAGTCAGAACCACACACCTGTCATGAAGTAAGCATCTCAGAGTTGAAGGTTGAGATGTGTAGACTCAGACCTAGTTTTAAAATACGTCCTTCAATTAAGTGGTAGGGTTTTCCGTAGTTAAAGGGGCTAAAAGGGTACGGTAACTTTTTGTTCCTTTTCAGACGTTAGTGCTGACTTGCCCTAAATCACTTGATATTAGTACTAGGGGAAGAACTGGGCTCTGGGCCCTGGTGCTGAGTCCCTGCCCCTAAACAATGAATGAACTTGCTAGAAATCCATTTCTAGTCCCAGCCTACTAGGCTGAGACCGCCTCTTGGAGCCGGAGGCTTGATACATGAGGAAAATATGCTTAAAGGGATATTTAGGAGCAATAAGAGGAAAACATCCTTTGTGCCTTTCGTTATTAAGGCCTGGGAACGGGAGGAAGAGCAGGTGCCTCGAGAACCACACTAGTAGTTCGAGAGGCTCTTTGATGCCATTGCCCTCCCTAGGGAAAATAGACTCAAGTCTGCTTGTATGGGGCTAATACATAAAAATGAATCTGTTTCAGGGGCCAGAAAGTCTTTATGGGGACCCAGGGATTTTGAGTTCTAACCGGAGGGTAAAGGGGCCTAGAGACAGATTTAGGAAGTTCAGCAGTTCCTCTGTCAGTCCCAGAAACCCCAGGGAGGGAACTTCAAATGCCTGGGACTCCCAAGAAATCCCAGACTGTCAGAGCCAAGAATTAAGGCCACTCTCGGGTCTCAGAGAAATTTTCTTGGTCAAAGTCATCATAGATTGGCTGAACCCCCAGAGGGTAAAGCCAAATCATGAGGTTGACATCAGAGGAACAAGGAGGTGGGTCCAGGGCAGAAAAGCAGGAGGGAGAGAGGAAACAGGGCAATGTCCCACAAGGTAAATGTGTTTCATATGCTAAAGGAGACTAGCCCTCCACTCCTGCTGCCCTTCCTCAATCCCTTCAAAGAGTGGCTGCCTCCAGGCAACAGCCATGAGGTTCAAGAACCTCCACACTTCTCTGCTCTCATCCTAACTGCTTTCCCTTTCTTGACCATGGGCTCCGGGGTGGCAGGATGCTAACCTGCTAGCAGGGAACAGTGGGTCCAGGAGCGAAGAAAGACGCCCATCCCCAGCTCTATTGTGGGGAAGAGGCTGAGGCCCCTCAGATCTCTCTTCCAGGGTGAGGCGTCCGCTGCCAAGGCTCCTCTTTACCTTGATTCTATTACCCATTCCCACCCGGGCCTGTCTCGGCATTTCATCCCGGGCAGCTCTACATCTGTCCCCAAGGCCTAATCAAGATGTCACCACAAGCTCCCACTGTCCAAGTCGCAGTCTTTGCTTAGCAACACCAAACACCCTTCCCATCCTCCGCAAGTATAGGGAGGAACGCCCCCTCCCCCGCCACACACACACACACACACACACACACACACAGCCCCCATCCTCTCCCTCTCCTCAGGCTTGGGAGTTGTTACTGAATTGGCTCCCTAGCCCCGGCAACCCCCCCTTCCCCCTCCACTAGCCACCTTCTGCCTGAACTTACATTATCCTTCCCTTGCCGGTGAGACCCTGGGGTGCGAACGCGGCCGCCGCCTTGGAAACGGCGAGGGAGTGCGGGTGGTGTGTGCATGTCTGCGTCTCGGTGGCAGGCAGGGGTGAGCCCAGCCACTCACCTTCCAGGAAGCGTGGATTCCTGGAAGTGAGGGGAACCGCCGTCATTTCGCAGGCAGCGGCACGGTGAGCAGGGGCCCACGGCTGCAGCCAGCAAGAAGAGCTCAGCCCAGGGTGTGTGTGTGTGTGCGCGTGAGAGAGAGAGAGAGAGAGAGAGAGAGAGAGTGTGTGTGTGTGTGTGTGTGTGTGTGTGTATGAGAGAGAGAGGGAGAGAGAGAGAGAGGGAGAGGGAGAGAGGGAGAGCGCAAGCGAGCGCACGCTTGGATGTGTTTGGGGAGGGGGTTGGAGAGAATGTATATGTGTGTCTGGTTGGGGGGGATGCTAGGCTACAGCATCCCTTTCCCAAGCCAGTAAGGGGTGGGGGTGGGGGGTGTGCACAGGGAGGGGGAGCCAGATGCCGTTGCCCTCGTGCCCAGCAGACAAAGAGGAACTGCACAACAAATGCCTGAGAGAGGCAAGAGTGTGTGTGTGTGAGAGAGAGAGAGATGGAAGGGCCCTCCAGGTGGGAGGGAGAAAGGGGGGCCCCCAGGGAAGGCCCAATCCTCTGCCAGCTGGGGAAGCCAAGGCCCCAGAGGTCATGGGGCCCAGGACATGGGGCAGCCTCAAGGCTCTCAAACCGGCAGAAAGCCCCTCCCCCACGAAACTCAGGCACTCAGATTCCCTCCTTTCCCTCCTCCTCCAGGAGGGAGGTCGCTTTCCAGATCTGGGGACTGACAGCCCCCTCCTTCCCAGCGGCGAGAAGACCCAGCAGTCTGGTCTCAGGCTAGTGTTGCTCTGTGTCCCTGAGGCTTTTCAGATCCCGGGCAAAATCCTGGTATAGTCTCCCCACCTCCGCAGCTCGCCTCCCTTCCAGTGCCCCTGGGGCCCAGCAGCCGACAGCCCTGGATGAATCCGCCTTCTATCAAGACAAGGCCTCTGCTCCCTTCCCTTCCAGAGGAGCTGCTCACTGACGTGCTGACCTACTTTGGAGACTAGATTTTCTGATTCCAAGAATTTGGGGGTGGGAGGGGCCGTGAAACTTTGGGCTGCCTACCCCGGGTCCCTTTCTAAGGTTCCCTTAAACATTTCAGAGTCCCAGAAAACTTGGGACAAGCACTGCTCAGTCAATTAATTGCATGAGCTGGGTTTGAGCAACTCAGTTTCCCCTGAAAGATAGGGAATGGAGGTGGGGAGAGAATCTGTGTGGTAAGTTAATGGACTCTCAAGACCCCGGGAGGGAGGGACCTGCCCATTTAGAAAGAGACAAGGGGAGAGAGGATGGATTTTCTGAACTGGGTTCTGTGAGGTGGGAAAGTCTCTTTGAAGAACAGGAGAGATACCCACTTCATTGCGTGGCCAGGTGAGGAGACAGAAGAGCTGTGATGATCTTCAAGGGCCGGAGTGTATTTTAGGAGGGGTACACACAACAGGCTTTCCCACTGCTTGCATACTGGCCCAGGAGAGATGGGTCAGCACTGGGCTCTCAGATGCCCCTCATGTGGACTGTCTCAGCCATGCCTAGCCCTGCAGGGGCTACTCTTCAGAACTAATGTTAGCCCTCCCTTGGCTTTCCCTTTTCCCATTCTCTAGGGTAGATGCTGGCATCTAGAATTCTCAAAACACAGGTGAGGGGTTTCTGGCCTCCCCCTTCATTCCAAAAACCATCCTGTGTGGAGGCTTCCCTTACCTCGGAAATGTCAATCTGCTGAAAGCAGGGACAATTTGGTTTCATGCACGTGAAGCAAACACCCTAAGAGGTTTTCCTCTAATCCACATTCTCCAGAGACAGAGCTGCTCGGGATATTTCCCCGCCACGTTCTCAGTTTCTCATTTACCTAAGTTAGGAAAGGGACTGGTATTTATCCGTCTACCCGTTCCCCAGCAATAAAACAAGGTCTGGGGGGTGGCTGTTGCTCAGTAGTGATTTTCTGAGTAGGCTTAACTGAGCGGGACAGAGAAGGACTGGCTGATTCCTCAGAAGGGCCGTGACTTTTGTTCCAATAGATCTTTTTCAGTTACATTAGTCTACTTGATCCCTGTCACTCGGACCAGCATGTAGCAGATATCAAATGCCTTTACCCATTCCAACTCCTTCCCTCCTTAAATGAGAAAGGGGTCAGAGTCAATGTCTTACCTTACATTACCCAGGTGTTCCCAATGACTCTGCTATGTGTGTCTGACCCATCTTGCTATCATCCTTTGAACATGCCCATAATTACATTGGTCCCACTTCAGGGTAAAAAAAAAAAAAAATAAGCTATAGGTCATTTCTACGGCGGTGCTTGGATCTCTGACGGGCATCCTCATCATGTCAAAGCTCAATTCTGGCTTCCCTTACCTTTTATGATCATTTCTTGCCCTGACGTTCTAATGCTCCAAAAAATGACTCCTTCCGTCTTAGAGACAAGCTCTGTTTTCAGCCCTTCTCTGCACTGTCAGAGAGAGAGCCCGATAAAGATCCTCATTTCTTTTCACCTTGTTAAACTCTGAGAAGACCCCAATTACTTTCCTATCTCTAAAAGCCATTCATACGAGCAGTGATCTCTTCTGCCTCAGTAAGAGTATCTGGCAGGTATATAAAGCCACACAGCATGGGAAAGGACCATGGGAAAGGACTGGGAGAAATAAGAGTTGGGCTCTATATCTTTCTTTCAAAAGCTCTATGTTGTTGGCCCACTGGCTGAATTCAGCCCATAGACAAGTTTGGCTTGCTCCTTGGAACATTTTTGAAAATATTGAGTCCTTAGTCTAAAATGGAGACACTTCACATAAAATCTGGATTCCTGACTTCTCTTGAAAAATTGCAAGTTTTGGCCACACTGGATACACATTCTGGCACAACTGTGACTGGTGCACAACGAGGAGCTTTTGCTTCTTGAAGTAGGATATGTGTTCTCTCTGACAGTCCCCCGAATTCCCTCTCCTCGTTCGCTCATTTACATACCCACCTGGCCCCTACAGGCCTTGGAGGTTTGAAACCCCAAGGTTGCCCCACTCTCCACCTGGCTGGGACAGAGTATCGTGTTGGGCTGGTGACCTCAGAGTATAGGAGAAGGACCTACATCTTCCTTCTATCTCTTTGCTTTAGATCATTCCTCTCAAACTATGCCTCACAGTCCCCACTTGTATTTCCCTCCTGTTCCGTTCCCCTTCCCTTATCCCCCAAGAAGTCTGGGAAGAGAATCTCTATTTAGGGAATATAAAATGACCAAAATAGACTCATGCTACCAAGCACTACCAAGCGTGACTGGCAGCTCTGTGACCGGGGCACCTGAGGTCCTGTGCTAGGCTGGTTGGACTCCGCTCTGCTCCACAGGCGAGCGGCTGCTCCCAGCCCCTTACAAACACAGTGCACAAGAGGGCATACCAGACATATAGGAGCGGCCATTGCAGTCTTCTATGTCCATCTTAGAGTCTGCTGAAAGAGAAAATAGCTGTGATTAGAAGCCAGATCTGGGAAGGGAGGAGGTTTCTCTCTAACATTCTGGAATTAGCAAGTTTGCTCCAACCCTAGCCTAAAGAACAAAAACCTCCTACTTGGTCCTGATGAGAAAGACAGCGTACGCCGACTTACAAACTCCAACCTACAACTTCTGCAGGCTTCCCCAGCCTCTGGAGTGGAAACACTGTCTTACTCCAGAGTGGTCCCAGTTGCGGTGTTTGGAGAGTAGACCCTCCTCCTGTAGGTGGAGCTGACGCTGTGGGAAAGGAGACAGGTTATAGCCCAGCTTCTGGAGGCAAAAAACCCAGCCCCACAGAAGCTCTATACCTTAAGAACAGGGTAGTAACAAGGGGAAGAAGCTGGATTCTGTCTCAAGGGATTCTTTTTTGGGGTGTGTAGGGGAGGGAGGGGGACAGGAAAGTAGAAGATGGAGAGCAGCCCACCTCAGGTTCAGCGAGGAGTCCTCCACTGAAGGTCTAATAAATTAAAACTTTAAGTGGCTTTTCCCCACCTTCTTGTCAATTACTTCACTATGTTTATTTATTTTTTTTAAAGGGGGAAGACTGAATTTAAAATGCAGGTTAGTCTATTTAAGAGAAGCGAGCAGTAATTGGCAGTAGAGTATTAAACAATTCAAGAACTGAGAACAATTAAAAGTGATAATTTGTTCCAATGAATTATCTCCTTAGGAGCCTGTGGGAGGAGGAAAAAAAAAATCTCTTTGGTGGAAATTTACATACCTCCAAAATTGATTTCACCAGTCATCTAATAAAAAATAAATAGTCCAGGGCAGATTTGGGGGCATAAGAGTGGGGCAAGGGAACAGCCTGAGCTGCCATCAGGATTCCTGGTCTCTTCAAAGATCTCTCTCAGGCAGATGGATGAAAATCTTTGGCTTGTAATACTATACTGTTAGAGGCAAGGGTGGAGGATTCTGGGGGATGCACAGGGGAAAAGTATCTATTATCCTCTTGCCCCTCTCCCCCAGGTCATTTGGGTGCTGAGAGACATCATACTCTTCTGAAAAGTCTCAAGAGAAAACCCGAAATATGGGGTTTCCTTCGCTTCACAAAGCAGCTGTGTCTTAGGTCTCATTAGAGAATCCTAGTCTCACCCCGGGAAGCCCGGGTGTGGAAGAAAAAATTAACTAAGTTTATTTTCAGCTCTTCTTTTCTTCACATCCTCCCTGGGATGTACTGAGCTTTGGGATCAGACTGCTAGAGCAAGCCACAATAATGAGTAGTTCCGTGAAGGTTCCCTTAGGGGTAATGATTAGAAGACCCCAAATCCATAGTGATTAGCAAACCCATACCCTCTGGAACTAGCCATAGAACTTGTGGTGGGCAGAGATTCAAAGAATGAGGAAGGGCGGTCTGGTACTCATGGGGCCCCTTTCATTTCCGAATCATTAGCTCCATAATTGCCCTTTGGGATTTTTCGAAACTGCAAAGCTAAGATGCCACATGTGACTTCCCTTCCTTCCTCCCCATGCTCCATGCAGGAGAAGCAAGAATGAGCAAGATTGCCTCCATTTTCTCTTGGAGAAACTGAGGCTCTGAGAGGTTAAGTGACTTGTCTCCGGGCTCATGGCGAGACTGGAAGAAGAACACAGGTTTCCCACTGCTCTGAGCTGTGCTCTTCCCATTAAACCATCTTGCTTCCTTTCAAAAGTCATGGATCTTCTTGCTTTTCGCTGCTTCTAACATCAATTAAGGCATCTCTTTCTTTGGTGTGACCCCCACGGGAGTGGGGTCTGTTACTTAAAAAGAAGAACAAGTTGAGCAGGCTCTAAGGGGAGAAATATGCTAATGTAATATAATGTGTGTGATATGTGTGTGTGTGTGTGTGTGTGTGTGTGTGTGTGTGTCAGAGAGAGAGAACACAAACGAACCAGGGGCTAGATAAGCACTAGGTAGGCAAAACAGTTGAAGCAGAGCATTCAGCGAGCACTGGCTCAGGAAGTGCATCTCATTCTTGGACACCTGCCCAAATGGTCCCAAAACAATTTCCAGAAGGGTCTGAAGGAGTTGTTTTCTGAGTTGGACTTTGTTCCTAGCAGTAAACTGAGCTCTTCTGCTTCTTAATTGCTCTTAACAGGTGCTCCATGACACATCTTGGGCAAAATCAGTGTTTGGCTGCCTCTAGCAGGTCCTCATGCCAAGTTGGTAACCCTGGAAGTGAGAGCGGACGGAGATTCTACTGTTCCCAATCCTGGTATTCTGAGAGCCAGGAGCAAATCGGTAGACGTACTTCACTGTTCAAGTCTCCAGGCAGCACATCCCTCCCAACCTTCCCACTCCCCGCCCCTCAAAGTACCTCCTCCCCTGCCTGGCCAGGCAGGCAGATCTTAGTGTCTCCTTAGAGGAACTGGGTCAAATTAGGCACTGCCAATTGGAGACATACCGCGGCGGGGAGGAGGTATAAAAAGAGAGAAGTTAGTTACACAAGACAGGTTTGGCTCAAAGATCTTGGAAAGAAATCGGCTTTATAGCAACCTAGGCATCATTCAGTGACGGAGGTAGGCACATATGTACTGTAAATTCAGTTCAGCGAGCTGAATACAAAGCAACTAGAAATAGCTAGTTTCCCAATTCAAAAGGAAGTGTCTCTGTGAGGAGGGAGGAAAGGTTGGTCATTGTAACCTCTGGAGACAAAGATTTTCTTCCCTGTTCTTTTGAATCCATTTGGCACTGTAACAAGAGTCCTCAAAAAAAAAAAAAAAAAAAAAAAAAAAAGAATCCTCTACGGCCCTGACTTTCTCCCATCAGCACAATATTGCGTCTGAACAGGAAAGGGCAGGAATGGACATTCCCTCTAGACAGATGATTTCCCACCACACTTCCTGACAAGCAACGTGTCACAAACAATCCAAGGTCTGACTTCTAAGGGCAGGTCACGCATCAGCTACCCCCGCCCCCAACTTCCTATCTCCACAAAAATATCCCTATCGCTTTCACTATTAGGTGACAAAAATGTCAGAAAGTCAAGTTCTCTCTATGTAGTGGCTCTGAACGCCTGAAATAAGATGGACATCACAAGTATTTAAGGCTCTTCAAATCCTCTAAAGAATCCTGTTTGATCCAGGGACACTCCACAATTGGAATTTAAAATACACTCCATGTGGTCTAGTGGGTAGAAAGGTAGCAAGGAAGATCTTGTTGGGAAAGAGAGTGGAAGTGGAGAGAGCGGCAAGGATCTGTGCCATCCTTTTGGTTATTGTTCTCGAACTACAGCAGGGAGAAGCAGACATCTTTTCTCTAGTCTCCCTTAGGACCTGGGACCTGAAGTGGAGTGCAGTGATTATTAACAAGACAGAACTTTTCTACCTGCCTGGGAGTCAGCAGTTCAGGTACTACAAGTAAACCAAACCCACAGCATCATCCTCTCTTGTCTCTACCTTTGTGAACTGAATGAAATCAACATGAAAACGTACTGGAGTCTCTTGGCAGCCAGGGCTGTGTTTCAGAGCTCAGCATAACTGGGGAGGGGAAAGAGGTAAATGATTTGAGGGAGGAGGTGGCATGAGGCATTGTCAGCAGCCTGACTGACAACCTGCCCCTTTCCAGGAAACAGACCTTGACGTCCAGCAGCCTGCAGCTCTGAAATGATCTTTAGGGTCAACCTAGTGCCCTCTGAAGGAAACCCACCAACCTTTTCTCAGCTCATGTGTCTATCTTTACAGCAGAAAGATCTGACTCATTTTTTCACCAGGCTATAGACGTTGACCTTCTATGTATAATATAATAGTGATGAAGACAGCTCGACTTCATTATCCAAGTGCTTGGGGAGCAGGGCTAAGGGGATGAATTCTCAGGTCATCCTAGGAATGGCCAGTCTCTAAAATAAGAAGGGGTAGGAGCTGGAAACACAACACCTGGACAGTGAGAAAATATCATCTCATTGTCTCCTTTTAGATCTCAGATGGATGCATCTTTTCTCTTATCCTTTGTGCTTCCCTGTCCTCCCCATGTAGACTGTGGGAGAGAGAGAAGGCTAAGGTTTATGGGTGGAGGAGAAACAATTTTACCTCTCCCATGTCTCATCTTAGGACTTAAGGAACTAAGGAAAGGGCCAAACTAAACAGTTTAAATCACTAGGTATGATGTACATGAGATAATACTCTCTGGGTTTTTCAGATATACCCTTGAGTATCTGAGCTCTGTGTTTATAGAAAGGCCCCACAAAGTCACTGCTATTCAGCTGTATGTTTGGGCAGGGGTGAGGGAAGTAGGGCAGCAGAGTTCAATTTGAATTTTATAATAATTAGTTTTGAAGACAAAGATGTCCCCAAACAAAGTTAGCTCTATCAAGTGAGGTTTGAAATTACATGGAATTCTCAATGAACTATTCTGACTGGGGTAGGGTAGCAAAAAGGTGCAAGAGACAGAAACCATTTCCTTTGGTGGCAATCCTGACTGGAAGTCTCTAACGCATGCTATTCAAAAGGGTTCACTGTTGTTTGGACCAGAAAGATGTTTTTGGGCTCCTCCACTAACAGAGAATCTTGCCATGACAATCCAATTTAGTAAGCCTCTCTTCATGTGGAGGGCCGGGGCAGGAATGTTGTAGGACCTGGGGAATCTTGGAGCTAGAATGGAGCTGAGAGATGATCTCCAATCTCTTGTTTGTTTTTTTAAAGATTTTATTTTTACTTACTTGACACAGAGAGAGAGAGAGATCACAAGTAGGCAGAGAGGCAGGTGGGGTGGGGGGAAGCAGGTTCCCTGTTGAGCAGAGAGCCCAAAGAAGGTCGATCCCAGGACCCAGAGACCATGACCTGAGCTGAAGGCAGAGGCTTAACCCTCTGAGCCACCCAGGCACCCCATCCAATCTCTTGGTTTTTAACAGAAGAAGAAATTAAGCTGAGTCACCCATCTGGTCAGTGACAGAATTAAGACAAATAGAACCCAGGTTACCAGGCTGGTAACCAGTCTTTTTCCATTATAGTACAAAGTTAAATCTTGCCACAGTGGGAAGGTTTGGGGTCACCATGCTTACCTTCTTTCTTGGGTGTTGAACAGTTTGGGGGTCTGCATCTTAGTGACGTAAACCCTTGAACTAGAAACACAGGTTTATGGATGATAAGAGAAATAATCCTCTCCCTCCCATGTCTCTTTTTAGAGAATCTGAGCCTGAGGAAATTGCCAACCTAGATGCTCATTAGGTCTCTTTAAGGTAGAAACAGGACTCCTTGACCTAAGGATTACACCAGCATATGTATTCCAGCAGAGTCTGTAAGGTTGATGCTATTCCCATTGGTGGGGTGGGAAGGGACAGGCCATTCATATCAGCACTGTCCTTTCTTAGATGCTTTCTTCAGATAAACCTTGAAACTGTCTCCCCGTTCCCAATACAGAATCCACAATTCTTTTGAGAAGAGGAGGAAAATCAAACAGCTTAGAAATCAATCTTCTTCTGGCAGGGTCAAGAGACCAACAAAAAGAGGGAGTCCCTCTGCTTATAGCATTGTCTATACCCACAGGGCTCCACATTCTTATTTGTCCCACTAGAGTAAAAGGAGCCTAGAAATACTGGCCCAACAATAACTTATCTTAATTTTTTCCTTGGTTATTTTGTGTGTATGTTGAGGGAAGAAAGATGGCCAGTTTGGGAGAAAATAATTCCTTTGTGGATGTTAGTAGGAGGTAAAAGGTGGGATAATGTTCCTCCCATGCTGGGAAGTACAAGTTGCAGATTTAAACTAAGAGAAAATAAAGAAGAAATGTTCAGTTGCATTTTCACTGGAAAAAAGGACTTCTTTCTGAGCCAAGTCCCAAAATGTCCTCTACCCTTAACCTACTAAGAGAAGGGGGATTTCCCAGGAGCTACAATTGAACTAACTAACTGTACTTGGTGGGCAAGAAAGACATTATATTTTGTGCTTGAGACATCAGCATCTGTTGACTAGGGCAAGACATAATTCTCAACCTGCCAAACTGAGGGCAGCTCCCACCACCCTGGGACCCACCCCCAGAAACTCTGGTGAGACCTATCCTGTTTCCCAATGCAACACTATTTTCTTCTTTCAAGACTTTATTTTTATCTCATGAGCCACTCTTCTGACTATTCTCATGACCCAGGGAGTTGTCCAGATTCTCCGGCTTTAGGTGGTTGTAAGGAAGGCTGAAATCCCCCGACGCGATAAAGCAAGATTCACTGACCTACTGACAGACCCATGAGGAGATGTGGGATTCCCAGTTAGGCATTCTCACATACTCCTACCAAATAAGAAGCTACATTTTCAAAGATTGTTTGATTTGTCCTTGTCCTGATTTTATCCTCAGAATCTGAGTTATCTTAAGTGGAAATACTGTTTTTTAATGCTTCCTAAGAATATAAACATGTACCTTCACACAGGTAAAGTGCATAAGTAGCAGTAAGGGGGAAACAACAGGCCTCAACAGTCTTCTGCTTGGCCATGATGATGGAAGGCCTAGAGCTGACATGTGAGCAAGCCAGGAACTTTTGCAGCTCATGACTGACGCTTTGAGGGCTCAGGAGGGGTAGACTAGGACACAGGTGGAGCTATGAAACATGTCAGTGGGGGATCTGTAAGAGCCACAATAGTAGACAGTTTTGTTTATGGGAGGAGGGACTGAAGTGAAAGAAGGTGTACAAAACTCGACACATTTCGGTTGATAATGCATCAGATCTTCCTGGAAGCAGAGTTAGTAAATTCTTACCTTGGAGAAAGAAATGGGGTACCTTATTTCCTGAACATCTCATATCTAAAGGTCTGTGTTCCATTAAACTCCCAACTGTCTCCAGGCAGGACCAATTACTATATATATATATATATATATATATATATATATATATTTTTTTTTTTTTTAAAGCATAGACATCAAA